CACTGCCTGGGGGGGGCAGTGCCTCCACTGTATCGGAGGAGGCCGTGTGGCTCGCCCCAGGCACTGGCGGTGTGATGTGGAATGGCTGCCGGCGGGAACAGCAACAGCAGCCACCACAGAAGCTGCCCAGACCTTGGCAATGCCTCAGCAAAATCTACCTTCGAGCTCCATGTGAAGAGCAGGCTGCAGACGATGGGATCCACAGCCTTCAGGCTGAGAATCAGAGTCTCTTTGCATTCTCCTTGGTGGAGAGTTTCACAGGCAGTGCTCCCCTGTCGCCATCTTGCCCAACCCCCCCTTACCAATTTATATGGATAATGAGAATATCTCCTTTGCTTACAACTTTACCAACATTAAACATTATCAGACTGTTTTCCCAATCTAATGGGGGGAAATGGTGTCTCATTTTAATTGGCATATCCTTAATTACTGGTGATATTGAATATATTTTTATATGTTTATTGTACACCTGTATTTCCTAGTCTTTCTTTGTTTTTTAAAATGGAGATTAATAAGAAAATCAGGATTTGATTTGGAGGCTTTATTTGATGGCTGTTTTTCTTGAATGTGCCTATTCTGGTTATTGAGGAATAGTTGAAGTGAATAAAAATTCTAAAAAGCACCTAAAATCACGAGTATAGCAAACTTTACCTAGGTTCCAACTGCTACTTAAATGTTTGGTGGTTAAGTTTTATATGTAGTACCATCATTAGCTACTTACCTTCATTGAAATGATGTATAAAATCAAGAGCATGTTTAATAATTTTTCTCATTTGATCCAAAATATCAGCTCTCAGAACCCCTTGAGGCTGGGGACCAACTTCTATACCTAGGTACAGAAAGAGGTACATTTATATAAGTAATAGAATACACTGTAAAGTTGAGCATTTTTAATATATCAAGACTTAGAATTCCATTGCTAAAAAGTTATTGCGAAGGTAGACCATGCAGCATCATGGAAAACATTTGAGACATTACATTAGGCAAAAAATAAAGCAGAACATTTACATATTCAAGTTATATGCATAGTGAATAAAGACTGGAAAAGAATATGAAAAAAGATAAAAAAGTTATGTTAGAAATAGTATGATCTTTGGTATTTTTTCTTTAAATTTCCTTCAATATTGTCAAAATATTCTAAAATCATAACATAGTAAAAGAGGTAGACAAATTATGTTGACAAAATAGTAGGTGAATGCAAAGAGAAACTGTCATAGATCTAGCATTTAGCTTTGACAGGAGGAAGGACATTTACTTAGTCACTGAAATCTAGACTAGATGAATCATGGATGTAAGTCAACATGACAATCTATGTGATCCTAGAGCAATATTCTTTCCCTTAACATAACAATCTATCCTAACAAAATAATGCAATGATTCCAACTTTATGTAGGAAGAATTTGTATTCCTGTCTTCAAACCCCATTAAAACAATTCTTGTACTATGAGGCTATTATTTCCTGTGGCTGTCAAGCATCCATTCTTGCAACTACAAAATACTTTTTCTCTAAACTACTTATGTAGTCCCTGCCTTCCTGTTCAAGTCTTCCACACAGTCATCCCTCCAGTCATTGCCTTCTCCACTTGTCAAACTATTTACCAAGTATCCCCCTCATTCTATGCTCATTCTCTTCTCCCTGATTCATATACTATGTTCCTTTACACTCATCCTATTTTCACACACTTCTATTAATTCCCAATCCATAAAATCTTACCATATTCTCATTCACATTCATTTTTTACTTGTTGTGCTTAGATTTTTTATATATATGTAACATATCCAAAACATATATTTATATATAAGTATGTGGCATACATTTAAGTATATGTGTATCATAAGTGTGGCTAAGTTATATATCTGTGCATAAATGAATTATATACATCTGAAAAAAATGTGTGTTCATGGATATGTCTGTAGGTGTACTATAGAAGATGTTCTTTGCCTACCCCAAAGCCAATCCACTTTCCTTTTTTCTAATAGAACCCTGATTTTGGTTGGATTTCTTTTTTTTTTTTTTTTTTGAGTTGGAGTCTCACTCTGTCGCCCAGACTGGAGTGCAGTGGCCGCTTCTGGCCACCGCAACCTCGACCTGCTGGGCTCCGGCAATCCTTCCGCCTCAGCCTTCCGAGTAGCCGGAATTACAGGCATGCGCTACCACGCCCGGCTGATTTTTTGATTTATTGTAGAGATGAGGTCTCGCTGCCCAGGCGGGTCTCGACCTGCGGGATCAGGCAATCCACTCACCTCAGCCTCCCAAAGGTGCGGGATTGAAGGCTGAGCCACCGAGCCCGGCTCTTGGTTGGATTTCTAATCTTCAAGGTAGTTGAATTTTTCTCCATCTCAACAGTAAATGTTGACTAGATCAAGTCAATCACAACAATCTTATTACTCTAGTGATTGATTTAAGAACAAATATGTGAGCCAGTTCAGATCAAGGGATCATAATGGAAGATCTGCAAGGGATTTCCTGAGAGTCCCTTTCTTCTATTAGATATTATCATGTTGGCATATGATGCTTGGAACTACAGTGGACATCTTGTGGCCATAGGGTCATTGATAGATACTCTAAAGATGGTAGACTAGAAAGATAATAAGAACTTGTTCACTTGTGAAGTTGTTGAACTGCTATGTAAAATAACAAGCTTATCTTAACTGTTTAAACCATTTTGAGATACCTGCAGGAAAAAGCATTCTATATATTCATGTCTTTGGAGGAGATGGGAAGTGTGGTTTGGGTAGTCTTATGGGGAGAGGGAGAAGCTATGGACTGGAATGTACTTGACCCAGAAAAGCCAGTTATTTAAGGTTTTTTTACTGTTTGTGAGTGGAGGATAATAGGTAGGGTGGCTACATTTTCCAGACCAAAAATTAACTTTGACATAAGATCTCATATCAGAGTGGAATATTTAAATTTGTAGAAAATGGCCATGGCACACTCAGGAGTGAAGTTGAAGGAATGGAAGTCATAAAAATAACTTTTTTGAGTCTCAAATGAGACCATGGTCAATCTGAGAAAGTTAGGAGAAGATTACAACTCTTTGTGTGTGTGTGCGCGCGCACTTGCGTGTGTGTGTGTGTGTGTGTGTGTGTGTGTGTGTGTCTGGAAATAATCATAAGGCTGGCTGTAGCAAATGCCTCTTTCTGGGTTAAGATTTATCTAGAATGATCCTGTCACATTTCAGCTGCCTTAATAATAGACTGCAGAGGTGGTCCTTGTGGGTACCTACCAGAAGTTAAAGCAAATTTGTATGGAGTGACAGTCTTAGGTATTATAAAATGTTGACTCAGAATGAGTGTCTCTCTGATCTTGTGTATGTGTTTTTTAATGAGTGCATAATATAAAAATCTTCCAAATAAAATGTCAAAGTTGGAAGGAGAATATACACTATTTCTAATTATTTGCAATGAGCTTAATATTCCCTCGTATTGAAGTACATTAAAGATTTGTTGCTATTTTTAAGGGTCAAACATATCAGCAGATATTTGTTCTGGCTAAGAACAGCATTGCTCATAAATATCATAGGTACAGATTGAACTTTGAAAATGTGGAAATTTTATGCTTTTATTTGGTATCACAGAGAAATAGGATCTCTGTTTCTTATTGTTAAGCCTTTGGTTTGTTTCAACAAATTGCCTATATTTGGAAATTCAGCTTCCTCCAACAGATCCCTTTATAATGCACAAGAAGTATAAATACTTGAATAACCAGGAAAATGTTTGATTTTCATCTGCTTATATATTGTTTGTCAACTTGTTTTTAATTATATTGCTCTTGGTTAAACTACCTGAGATTTAACCAAAAAGGATTTTAAGTTGTAATAGCAATTTTAATTGTAGTGTAGTCTGCAGATAATTATGCTAATAGGCCACTCAGGAAAGATAATGGAATATAGAAAAAAGAGAATGTCTCTCTGAGAGGTTGTATGAGAGTGTGGGTCTGTGAGAGGTTGTATGAGTTGGAAGTTACCAGAAGGTAAAGATGAATCACAGCCTAGTAACTTACAGGACAAGCCAGCAATTGAATAACACAGATCATGAAAGACTACTGCAAAGCAGGTGCTAATAAGAATATTGGGAGAATGTTCTTCATGGGTCTTTTGTGTTTCTGCATGTCTTGCAAGGAAGACATTGGCTACATTTGTTCCAGATAATCTTTTAAAGGATGTTTGTATAGTAAACAAGCTTGGAAGACAAGAATGGTGTTTTCCTCAGAGGAAAAGCAGGCATGATTACTTAATTTTATTAAAAATTCAAGTTTCTTCAGCTCAGTGTTCCTCTCCTAGAGTATAGCTGCTGGCATATATAGCTGTCATCTGGCTCTCTTCATGTCGCCTTGTGGGAACTGGGGCTTGAGGAATAGTGCAAAAATACTGATACTCTGTTATTATTATTGTTTATAATCTATTCTTTGTTTCTGTCCCAGGAGTCTTGTGTCGTCTATCAGCATCCACCAAATGGTGCCAGAGCAACTTGTTAGATTGTAAGTAGGGTAAAATCTCAGACCCTTTAGAGTTTTTGATAAGGAGGGGCCAGAAAACAGCCTGGAGTAGATCACTGGGGCCACAGCACTTTGGAGAAACTGAGACCCACTTCCTTTCTGATCCAATTAAACCTGACCATGCTGGATGAGCTCACAAATGTATGTATTACCAAAGCTAGATGGCTAATATATTATATACTGTATAGTCCTAGTTATAGAAACTGTGTGGGAAAAATGGATCCATTTGTTTGGGTCTGTTTGGGATATGTGTAACTAAAACTGCGAATGATGATATTTATAAGTTTGAATTGTGTGCTCACTGATAATTTGAAGTAATATTTATTAAACATATGTTATTAGCCTGCAGAAGAGGGTAAAGAACAGAGGGTGCTAAATGGTTGGCTAGAAGGAGTCCACAGCTTAAAAAAAAAAGATAAATGGAGAGTATATCAGCAGAAATGCTGGTTTGGTGTTCGTTGGATATTCGTGAATATAGAATTGGACATACCACCAGCCTCAGGACAGAGTTTTATTGCAAACGAGTAAAGCAGAGCAGAATAAGCTAGTTCACTCCTACGAATCAAGAGGAGAGGGCTGTACAGAGAGTGAGACAGGCTCATTTATTTCTTTGGTTTGGTTTTTAGAGTTTACTTTTCTTTGTCTTAGTCTCTGGTCTCAGTTGGTTAGTTCCCTCTTGGGCTTGTTTTCCCTCTTTATGGTTAGGATATAAATCCTTCATGTGACCTTTGACATGAACTCATGTTCAGATGCTGTTAATTTTACCTTGTTAAAGTTACAAGTGTCTTTAAACAATTTTGGGGCTACGCATCTTCTATCTTTTCATGATGTATTGTTCATACATGCAATGAGCTCTAGTTTACAAGACTAAACTAATGATGAACATAAAACATAAGTCTGAAACTAAATATCATAAAGGAAGAGAGTTTACATTTTCAGGATTTTAGAGAGTTTCAAAAGAGTCCAACAAAATTGCTCCTTATCTAGGTTTGCAGGTGTTTCTTTAAAGGCATGTAGCTTCTCCACGCCTCTTGGTTATTACGTGGTTTAATATGGCTGGTTGTCCTCTCTCAAACATTAGCAGTGATTTGCTAGACAAGGTTGGCCTATCTAGCAGGTTACATCAAGGAAGTGGGGAAAACCACATTCCTAAGACCAGAAAAAGAAAAAAACGTGCTCTTTAAATCCAAGCAGCTTTTGCATTTGGCCCAGCTCATCATGAAAGAAAATTTCTAAAATGAGTAAATAACTAAACGTCAGCTGGCTTCCCATCTCATACCCTTTTCCTTCTTCATCACCTGCTCATGTCTGCCTAACTACCTCAAAAATATAGTGTATCAGGTGTGGCATATAATCAATCAGGGATTTGAGGGCCTTTGTATATAATATTCCTTTTTCCTCAAAGTGTTGTCTGAGCGCCAGGACTGGTCCACCAACTGTTTGCTACTAGTCCCGGGCAAAATAAGTATGGAAATTAAAGCAAGTGTTTAGAAATGTTTATAGCAATTTGACGTTACTGCAACATTCAAGTATGTGATCATTTTTCTAGTAAATCTCAGCATGGATACCTCTTATTTGGGCCTTCTGTGATCCTTCAAGATTGGGTTAGGCCTTTTTTCTGTGCTCTTATGGCCTTCTATAATTACCTCTACCTAGTATCTATCACTGTGCAATAATTACCTGGTTATTTCTCTGGCTTCTCATCAGATACCAAGCTCTTTGAGGGCAGACTGTATTGTCTTGTTCATCATTATATTCCTAGCACCTAGCACAGTGTTGGGTCTAGTAGGCATACAATAAATATTTGTGGAATGTACACATTTTTGGAGTAATTAATTCTGTGGAATGGGGTCAGGGAAGATTCCGGAGGAGGTGGCGTTTGAAATGAATCTTGAGGATGAGAAGAATTGTGACAGACTACATTGAAGGACCAAGCATTACAGCAAACAACATGAACAAAACTAGAAAACTGTTCAGTAAAATTGAGGAAATTTACCATAGTTAGGGCCTGCCTGGAGTTAAATTGCTTGATATTTGACAATTATAAGCCTTATGATATGTAAGATAGCTGTAAATGTTCTTCAAGAATAATTTTCTGAGTTTCAGTCAGGACATTGAAAGGACAAGGACCAAATGGATTCAATATAGCCAAAGAGCAGCCATTTTAACATTGCTTAGCTTTGTCATTTCTTAAAGCAGTTCACTTAATTTACCCTCTAATCACTAGCCAAGGACAGAACTGGTTTTTCAAAGGTAGCTATTGATAACTGTTGTATAGCCCTTCCCCAGCTTGTTTTGTACTAATTAGTTTTTTTATTCCAAGTATTTGCCTCCAGCCATATGAAAACCAAGCCAATTTAATCTATTGTGATGGCCCTTCATGACCTTGGAGATACCATCACCATAGCAACAGTTATGGGACTGGCCCACCCATCTGCCTGCTGTCTATCATCGTGAGGTCAGTACCTGGGTTACCTGCCCTTTTGTGACAATGTAAAACAGACTATCACCTAATTACCTTAACAACCTGCCTCCATCAAAGGGAAGGTTTAAAAAGCATTCAATTTCAAGCAGGCACCTCCATGCTTCTCTGTAAGCTCTGCCCCCCTCCCCAATCTGGGGGAGATGAATCCCCCTTTTCTCTCTCTCTCTACTTTCTAAATAAATTATATTTTCCAATTTAGTTTCTGTGCAATTATTTGCATCTTACCTGCAGCACCGGCTCAGCACACTGGTCCACTCATCTAACAATCCTCCCAGACCTAACAGACATACTTTATTCAGTTATGACAATGGGAATTATGACTTACCAACAGGATACTTGGCTATAGAACGAGTGGTTGCATATTTGAGGGAAGGATGTTCAATAAGATAAACATAGCAGGGCAATGGAGCCAAAGAAGTCTGAAAAAAATTTAAAACATCTTTCCTATTATGTAAAGACCATATGTTTTGTTCTCTTTACTACAAGAGTCAATAATGCCTTCAATATGTTTTACTTCATCAACTATGATTAGTAAAACAGCTTTATAAAACACTTTAAAACTCAATGTTATTATAGCTTTGAAAACATGCAAATGAATTACATATAAAATTGAATTGTATATAGCTTTCCAGGAAAAATGTACACTAAACAATCCTTCAGAACCATGACCAAAGAATATGAAATAATTTTCCTTCTTAATGGATTTAGTTATTTTTGTTTAATCACTGGTTACACTTACTATTTAGCTTAGTATTAGTTTCTTTTTTATCTTATTTTAAAGATGTGGGGTACAATTCAAGATTAGGTATATATGTGGACATCATACAGATAAAGTTTGGGCCTCCCTTTGGTCCCCACTTTGGTAGCATTAGTTTCTTAAATAATGCAGTTTCTATTCCTGTGGGCCAGGTCTCTACAGATGTTGGGTTATTCCCCCTCCTCCCATGTATCTAAATGAAAATTTGAGACAGACCTCTTGATTTTGATAACTGAGTATTAGCTAAGCTGTTTCTGTGTCTGGTAACCAAAGCATTCAGCTCTCTCTCCAAAGAGCAACAAAGCATTAAAATCTCCTACCAGGACCACTGTCCACTTATTGTCAAATGCTTAAGGGAAATGAAAATTATAGTTAATCTTTATTATAGGTTAAGTAGTAGGCTAAATGCTTTTAATACTTTATCCCATTTAAGTCTTTTGGGACTCATAGGTGGTGAATGTTGTTATTACAACAATTTTATAAAATGAGGAAAGCAAGATTTGGGGAATTGAGTATCTTATCCAAGGTTAGTGAATGAGAAAGCCAGAATTTGAGCCCAAGTTCTCCTGACTACATGAACCAAACTCTATCCTCTAAATCATACTAGTTCTCAGGAAAGAAGGATACCTATTATACAGAAATAAGCATACAATTCATTATTTGTGCTTTTGGTTGGTATTTTGTAGCAAATTATCTGTGAGAAAATTCCAGAAATTTTTTTTGAGCCTTAAAATGATTTCTGAGCGTTAAAATGTTTAACTATATTTAAGTACTGAAAGACTGGGTGTGTGTTGGGGTATTTAAATTAAATAGGGACAAGAGCAGGACTAAAATTAGGCAATCTTTTTATCATTTGGCTTCAATCAAGCTTAAATGACTGTTTATTTTTTATTTTTTTCCTAAGTTTTCAAGCAAAGTTTGTTAGAGAAAGAAGAGAGAAAAGAAAGGGAGAGATGCCAGAGTTAGCATGGGTGAAAGAAACCACCATGACTGTTTCTTAAGCTTATTTAAACCCTGTAATTGAGATACTTCAACCACAGCACTTACAATTTTAATACTAATTTTACTTGGTTTTACTAAATAACCCACAATTCAGTGGCTGTCTGGATAAAATATATTTTATAGACACAAGAATCCACAAGTGTTTTATTATTTTAGTCATTGTGTTTATTATTTTACTTATTTCCTCTCCTTTCCTCCTGCCTATCACCACTGCCTCTTTATTCTGGTAACATCCTTTCCCCAAGACCCACAAGCCTCGCTGTGAAATAGACTTCATTTCTCTTGCACCCTCCCTCCTGACCCTTTTCTGGTTGTCTCATGTCTATAAATTGACTTAAAGTACAGATCCTATGCTAAGTTGTAAATTAATAACATGAACGTTACCTTAATATAATGAAACATCTGAATTAAAAAGTTATCCCTGGAATCTTCAAGAATAAGAGTGCATCCCATGTTAGAAGTAGTGTTGTGAAGGTCAAATATAATGTCGTAGGAATTTTCACTATTTTTTGGACCAAATAAATGATTTATTTCTTGAGCCCTTCTCACTTCATATGGCAAATTTTCTGACATTTTTTTGCTGTTATAAGCAGAAAGAAAAAGATTAACAACATCTGTGTCTAGGATGACATAAACATACAATATGAACACAGTGTAAAAAGAATCAGTTGCCAAACTTTTAATATGAAAAATCTGTGTGGGAAGTGAAAACTTATCTGGAACCTTTATAAATGAAGAATTACATTTTTTCTTCATTTCATTCCATATAACTAATGTTGCATTGGCAGGCTTGCAAAATAATAGTTCATTTATGTGAACTATTACTCATTTATGCAATTGTATTGTTGTATGCATAATTCTATTATGCATTGTTCATTTATGTAAATGGAATTTATCACTGGCTTTCAACTTTGAACAAAAAATCCTTTAATTTAATAAGCAATTTCTTAGTAGTTATGGGTTATTTATTATGGGGCTAGACCATCAAATGCACCTTTTTTTCCACTCTAATTCTAGTGCACAAATATAGTCAAAGATGCTCACATAATCTAACTAGAAATTCTTAGTTGAGGTTCAGGAACCACTATGGTTCAGGGACAAGGTTTACAAAGGGCCTGTAAATCCTCAAAAAAAAAAAAAAAAAAAGTAAAAATTTGCAGGTACCCGCATATATGCATTTTTCTGGGACAAAGGCTAATAATTTTTCTTTTTTTATCAAGTGGGCCTCTATCCACCCTTTCTTCACTTCCCACAATTGTTAGGATACATTTTTTTTCTATATATGATAATGATTAAATTTTTTTTTTTTTTTGAGTTGGAGTCTCACTCCATCCTCTAGGCTGGAGTGCAGTGGCATGCTAATGGCCACCACAGCATTGACCTGCTGGGCTCAGATGATCCTTTTGCCTCAGCCTCCCAAGTAGCCAGAACTACGGGTGCGTATTACCACACCAAGCTAATTTTTAAATTTTTATTGTAGAGAGGAGGTCTCGCCAAGTTGCATGGGCTGGTCTCAAACTCGCAGGTTCAGACAATCCATTCACCTTGGCCCCCCAAAGTGCTGGAATTACAGGCTGAGCCACCGAGCCCAGCCTATTTAAAATTTTTTAAAAATTAAACCATCCAAACATATTTTCCTATAATTCCATCAGTTTGTATTCCTGGTTATTTTGGAAAGTATCTTCAGTTTGCACCTGGGTAATTCCTGCCTGGAATGAAGTCAGGAAGATGGAGTAGACATTTTGTGACTATGAAGCAAAACCCACGAGGACAAAGCTGCATGCCGAGAATAGTGCATTGGAAAGATAGAAGGAGGCTGGGGCATTGATTACATCATGTCGCCAGTGCACTAGCCTTGGACTACCTCCCTCTTTCTTATTTGTGAACAAGAAATCCTTATTTGCGTAAGCTACTATCTTTCAGGTTGCTGTTATATGCAAGCTAAATCTAATGTATGTATATATATGCATTTAAAAAGGGGAGAGACATAATAAGGCTTACATATTGCAATTATCCTTATGGCTATTACATGGAAAATGGATGGCAGGAAGGATTAGAGCAAGGTTGGATGTAGGGGGATCCTTGTGAGGCTATGCTATCTGTCCACAGAGGATATAAACTAAGGAGAGGAAGACTGGAATTGCAAAATATTTGCAAAGAATAACTGAGAGGACTTAGTGATGCACTAGACGTGGGGGATGAAGAACTGGGAAGGTTCTAAGATGAATTCCATAGGGGATTTTGAGGGTAACTAATTTGGTTCTATATTATTCTATTCCATTTGAGTAAATGGCAGAATCAAGGCTTGAAGTTTTAAAAAATGATGAACACCACGAAGATGAGGAATATAGGAAAAGGAATATATTTGGGAGAAACTAATTTGTTCATCTATCTCATAAATTTTCATAACCACCTAGAGACCTGTTTAGCCTCTAGATAGTGTTAACAGTAAGTGGCAGAAAGTGAATTTAATTTAGAAGACTCTTCTCACTGAAATGATCACTATTGGGTGATCATAGTGAGAAAATTCACCTCATTCAATTTGAGTTATTTGAGAAGTTAATATGCTGACTAAAAGTTGTTCTTTAACAAATTCTTACTTGTGGTATAGCTATTTTAAGTTAATAGATAAACATTAACTGTGCCAACAGAACCTCAATCATGAAGATAAAATATTTCTGAAATTAAATTTATGCTAGTAAAAATATTATTTCATACAAAAAGTATGATAACAAAATAGTCATACTTATTTTGCTCTGAAAATATCTATTTTATAAAGAGAGGTATATTTCTATTAAAAGTAATATCTATTTTTTGATCTATGGTGAAACTAAACCTAAGGAATTCTTTATGCACGACTATAAACATAGTTGTTTGAAAACAGTGAATTTCCTAGAAAGGTAACATATATACAAGCATAGTAGCCAAATGCTAACTTAATGCAATGGATTCCTAAATGTTTCTTTAAAGATATGGTTTAAAAGTAAACCCTTTTCTATTCATTGTTTCAGTCTGTATACAATGTATTTAAAAGGAAAAATCAATTAAGAATAGTCTGATACTTAAGAAAGTTTATAAAAAGCATGTGAATGCCCAGTTTAGACAGTTGTGTACTTCATAATGCAGTATGATTAAAAGTGAAAGTGATCTTAGTCACTGTACTGACTATACATACAGACAAATTATAATATGTATATACATATATGTACTCTCTCTCACACACCTGCCATTTTAAACACACACACACACACACACACACACACACACACACACACACACACACACACAAAATACAAAACATAGTCTTACCCAAGATTTTCATGGTCAAAAACGCGATTGAGGTCACAGTCAATATATCTGGTACACTTCTTTACTGCTCGTGGGTTGGTAATAAATGGTTTCACCTCCAGCCCTGTTCTCTGAATCTCAGCACCGTTCTCTAACCAATGCTTAACCAGAAATACTCCTGTTAACTCATTCCCATGAGTTCCTCCAAAGATAGCAACCTTTTTTATAGGTTCTTCAGCAACGTGACAAGAAGTCATCTCACCAAATAGTTTTGTCTGATTTCTGTAATTCACAAGAGAGGAGATCAAAGGTAATTTCACTTCTTAAGAAAAGTTTGGAAATTTAAGTCTAAATGAGACTTTAACCAAAGGGCAAAGTACAGAGTTCCCTTGGGTAAGCATATTTTAATTTTCTGTTACACGTTCTGAGCCCTGTTTATTCTGTGGACACTCCCTCCTTTAGCCCTGCCCTTTACCATATTTGGAATGAAATATGTGATCTACTAGAGATACAGTTGTTTATTTTAACTTATAACTCCCTCAGATGGTCAGTAGATCTAAATACAATGATAAATCAGTATCTCAGACTAACACAAAAATTCTATTTTCCCCTCAGCTAGAATGTCATCTAATGGGACTTTCATGATCATTTGTAATAATAAAAATAATGTATGCATTTTAAATCTTAAAAATATAAAAAACAAATAAGTGGCCTGTTTGCTTTTTCCACTGGTATTTAAATGAAAAACAATTCTTTTCTGAAATGAGTTGAGGCACTTTTCATGATCTGCATGCATTTGACTCTCAACTCTATAAACAGCTGAAGACAGATCCTTGGAGATCTCCTCTTGAGCCAGCACCCTTTCTTTCAGAATGCCTTTTCACAATCAGAAACACAAGGGCCAAATCAATGTTCACTAGTACTTAAATAGCTACTTTGAAACATCTTTTAATTTTTTTCTCATAAAGTTTTTGGTAATTCTGCATCAACTTTGGGAGGGATCTTCCTCATTTTTTGTCTAAATACTAAAGGAAAAGCAACTGTTAGTAATTTTCAAGTCTTTGTAATGCCTGAAAATGTCTTAGGAAATGCTGTTAGGTAGTTAGGCAGACATGAGCAGGAGACAAAGAGGGAAAAGGGTATGAGATGGGAAGCCAGCTGACGTTTAGTTATTTACTCATTTTAGAAATTTTCTTTCATGATGAGCTGGGCCAAATGCAAAAGCTGCTTGGATTTAAAGAGCACTTTTTTTTTTTTCTTTTTCTGGCCTCAGGAATGTGGTTTTCCCCACTTCCTTGATGTAACCTGCTAGATAGGCCAACCTTATTAGCAAATCACTGCTAATGTTTGAGAGAGGACAACCAGCCATATTAAACCACATAATAACCAAGAGGCGTGGAGAAGCTACATGTCTTTAAAGAAACACCTGCAAACCTAGATAAGGAGCAATTTTGTTGGACTCTTTTGAAACTCTCTAAAATCCTGAAAATGTAAACTCTCTTCCTTTATGATATTTAGTTTCAGACTTATGTTTTATGTTCATCATTAGTTTAGTCTTGAAAACTAGAGCTCATTGCATGTATGAACAATACATCATGAAAAGAAAGAAGGTGCGTAGCCCCAAAATTGTTTAAAGACACTTGTAACTTTAACAAGGTAAAATTAACAATATCTGAACATGAGTTCATGTCAAAGGTCACATGAAGGATTTATATCCTAACCATAAAGAAGGAAAACAAGCCCAAAGGGAATAACCAGTTAAGATCAGACTCTAAAAACCAAACCAAAGAAATAAACGGGGCTGTTTCACTCTCTGAACAACCCTCTTCTCTTGATTTGTAGGAATAGCTTACTCTGCTCTGCTTTACTTGCTTGCAAAAAAAAAACTGACTTGCTGTCTTGAGTCTGGTGTCGTTTCCAATTCTTTGTTCATGAATATCCAACGAATCCCAAACCAGCATTTCCGCTGCAATACTGCATATACTAATCACATCATATGAGCTTATATTGACATGGCCTGATTTGCTGGCAGCAGGGATTTGCCACTGGAACGTGTTACTCAGAGGGGGTCTTATTAGGGAAAATTATCCTGAATACTAAAATGATTACATCCTTTTGGAGAAATGACTCTGAGCCAGATCTGATTTGATTTCATGCTCAATCACCCAGAAAGTCAAATATGTCCAAGTACTGAAAACTCTATGTACTCGTAATACCAGATTGTTTGATGAGGGTACAACAAGAGTAATTCATTCCAATTGCAGAGTGGTTTAATTTATAATGTTCTTCCACATTAATAATATTAGTATTAATAATCCACTTTGTAAGATGGGGGAGGTTAGGCAATGTGAGGGATAAAGAAATGAGAGGTTAAGGAACCTAGGAGAAAAGCAGGTTTAGAACCCATGTTTCTGATTCCTAGTCTAGTGTTTTCATAGGGCAATAGGGCGCCTGTCTGTTATTTTTGGTCTTCTTCAAAATTCTAGTTTTGCTCTTTCAGAATTCACACACACAGTCATTACAGTGTGCTCAGGAAGCAAACAAGCATACAAATAGAATGCATGGTAGAAAAATAAAATAGAAATCCTTCACAATATTTAATAAACCAATTTGTATGTTCTGTCTTTAAGAGATTATAATACAGAGATAAAGCAAAATAACAAAATCCAAATTTACACATTAAAGTTACTGTTCTAATCTAAGAAAAAACCCTGTAATCTTTGATTTTCTATCCACATCAATGTACACTAAACACTTCAGTCATTGTAGAGAGGATGAAAACACATGTAAATGTAAACAGATGACAGTCATTTATTTACAGTAACTATGGTGAATTATTAACACTCTATTATGTTTTGTTTCTTTTCTGCTGATTTGTAGTTTGTCCTGTCCTTTGCCCTAGTCTCTCTGGAAATGCTGTTTCAGTTATTTACTCGTAGCTGGCACAAATGACTTGCATTTTGAGGCTCGTTTTATGGAATTTTAATAGATCAGCTCTATGAAGTACATTTCACATTCATAAGTAAAGTTTCTCTTACATGTCAAAATTAATAACTTTTTTGAGAGTTAATAAATTGCAGTAATTATTTTACATACTTACCTCGTTTATTGTGTACAGAGTTTGTCTTCTGTGGAAAGCTTTATTAGAAAAAAAGGAGAGCATTTCCTTAGAACTAGAGCAACAGAGGCTTTTCATACTCTTATACCAAGTTAACTTCCAAAAGATTTTTAACTCTCTGCTTCCCAAAGTATAACCACAAAACTACACATTTTTATTAGCCTAGCTCTCTTTAGAGAGTTCAGAGAACTGATAACATACAAAGCAAAACACTTTCTAGTTGTCACTCTCTCACTATTAAGTTGAATATTTAATATTTTGAAGTACTTAAAAAGAGTAAGTGTATTAGCTTCCAGCATTTTAAATGCTTTATGGGGATGAAGGGCCTGACTTATTAATAAAATAATGTAGATTAAAACAAAAAGAGAGCAAAGTTTTACTTCATAGTCAAGCCAGTCTAACAGATCAATGTTGGAAATTTAAGGTGGGGCTGTTTTCTAAAGAGTATGTTTGGGGGAAATAAGAAGGGTCTTTTGTTCAATATTATACATAAGGTGTCTCATATATAAAGTGGCTGTCCAGTAGTCATGTAATAAAACTACTTTTACTACTTTTTTTTTTTTTGAGTTGGAGTCTCACTATCGCCCAGACTGGAGTGCAGTGGCCACTTCCGGCCACCGCAGCCTCGACCTGCTGGACTCTGGCGGTCCTTCCGCCTCAGCCTTCCAAGTAGCTGGAACTACAGGCGCACGCTACCACGCCCGGCTAATTTTT